TGCCGATTTGGTGCTCAAGATACATTTCCTATTATAATTATTACAGTTTAAAACGGTTGTGCTGCTTCTTTATACAGTATATTTGTGGAAACTGTAAAATTTTTTCTTTGAATATTTTTTGATTCATAGAAAGTTCAAAAGAACAGCATTTATTTGAAACATTTTTGGTAACATTGTAAGTATCTTGGTTTTGATAAAAATTAATGCATCCTTGCTGAATAAAAGTGTTGATTTCTTTAGAAAAACAAAATCTTGCTGACCCCAAACTTTTGAACAGTAGTGTACAGTTTTATGAAGCTCTGTATTTATTTATGCTTATACAAGTCATTTACTTTACTTTAGTACTATATATTGTATGTAATTATTTTGATTTACATTCACACATACAGATTGTTCTTTTGTGATTTTTAAAATGTATTTCAATGTATTTAAAATGTCAAGCTCTTGGATTGCAATGTCCACAAACAGGGTCAGTTTCTCAGGCCAGTTCACAGGACTTAACTCTCACCCTTGAATGTGTACCAGGGAGCTGCTAAGAGCCCAGAGGTGAATGGTTTGTTTTGTTGTGTGTGTGTGTGTGCACATGTGTTTGTTCTAAGATACAACATTGGTAAACACTATTGGTTCCACTGAAAGTAGACAGCATGAAGCGCCAGCTTTGCACAGAGCTCATGATATAAAATCACACCTGAGGAAATATTCCAAAAGTCTCAGTGATCTAGTGCAATATTTTCAAAATATGTAATGCCTAGGATCCCCAATTATGATAATCAAGTATAATATAATATACTAAAAGTTATAAATTTTTACTGTGACATATTTTTACTGTGTGAGAAAAAAAATAATGATATAATGAATATGAATATTATGAATAAGGAATGTTATCTGGAAAATATTTAAATTGATCATGTGTATGGTTCTGCCCACTATAGTACTGCTAGATCTGTATAAAAGTTAGATTTATGTATGCATTTTTCCTGAAATTTCCCATGGACCCCCTAGCAACCCCTTGAGTGGGGGCCCCTGAACCACCGTTTGAAAAACCCTGATCAAGAGTTTTGATTAAATCAAATAGTGAATGCAGGATCAGAGATGAAGCACATTAAGTTTTGGATAAAGTCAAAGGGGAGCTATTAAACCCAGACAGTGGTGTCCTGGTCGAATTAAACACATTTGTGGCCTAAATTACTTTATCAACAGGGACCTTTCATTCAGAAAATCCTCCGTCCCAGGACACCAGCCACTCTGTTTTGCCATAGCTTATCTCAGAAGTTATGAGAATAAATATAAAGCTTTATGAGACCAAACAAAGACAGAACGAATCCTTCCCCCACTTCAGGCCCCCCATGTGAACTGTAATATCAAACAGAACAGCACGATTTCCCACAGTCATCACAGTCTGACAATACTAAAGGCGAAAAATCACAGAAAATGTTATTTTAATTCACTGTCATACTAATTTGAGAGATGAAATATCTCATCTGTGAGAGTACCGAAAGAACAGTTGTGCAGCACTTTAATTACGGTGTAGTGTAGACAAAAATGACACAATTGTTCACTCATGTGAGTCCGTTGGGCATCTTATCTTGGCACATGGATCAGAACATTTTGTAAAGTGAATGTTTCAGGGTCTTGCAAGCCATCTTGATTTTATTCACTTTTAAAGGGGTAGACCACCCCAAAATAAACATTTTGGCAACATTTACCCACTCTTGTGTTGTTTCAAACTTAGAAGTATGACAGAGTATGACTTCTGTGGAATGTAAAAAAAAAGATATTTTGAAGAATGTTGTTAACATTTTAGGTTCCCCTTAAGCCTGGCTCACACTACAGGATTTTTAGCCCGATTTAGCCCCGATTTCCCCCTCCCGAGAATCGGAGCAAAAATCTTATCGAGCCCCCGTTCGGTGCGGATTATCTGGTAATGTGAGGCATTCACAGATCGAATCTTGCACCTCCCGATCTGCTCGCACACAAATCGGGGCCGCCCCGATCATATCAAACATGTTTGATATTTAGGATTGAAATCGGGATGATGACGGCTATATGATTACGTCAGTACTTTCACAATAGCCAATGCGCGACCGCAAAACAGCTGCTGTACGGCTCCGTTGGATAGTGGAGACGGAGGAAACTGCTTCTTGATGTAGTAGTAACACGACTGTCTTTTGAGCGTGTACACGCAATAGGCCTATCTGAGCGACAGCAGAGGCAATTCATAAAATAAATTGGCCGGTGCCACCCCCTGGCCACCACGTAGACACGCCCCTGGTCACGAGGCGATCACGTGAGCCACTCCCTCTGGCATGATAATCTTAATAATATCTTGTAGTGTGTGATGTGCCATGATGTTAAAATCTTGTAGTGTGTGCATGTTAAGATTTGAGAGAAGATAATCTGCAAAGATTCTCCTTATGTGTGTGCTGCAACGAGATTTCATAATCGGTTAGGACTTTAAAACTCCTATAGTGTGAGCCCGGCTTTATCTGACCACGACATTGTATGCACATAGTTTCTTTCGCGATCTCATATGAAATGATACAGGGTACGGCGTGCGCCGGCACCTTTGTGTGTGCAATTTAAGGCGATCACGTGAGCCACTCCCTCTGGCATGATAATCTTATAATATCTTGTAGTGTGTGATGTGCCATGATGTTAAAATCTTGTAGTGTGTGCATGTTTAAGATTTGAGAGAAGATAATCTGCAAAGATTCTCCTTATGTGTGAGCTGCAACCAGATTTTATAATCGGTTAGGATTTTAAAACTCCTGTAGTGTGAGCCCAGCTTTAGGTTCCAACAGTTTAGGTTCCCATTGACTTTTACTGTATGGACAAAAAATACAATGTAAGCCAATGGGAATAAATGCATTCTTCAAAAAATGTAAATAGTTTGTGTTCCTCAGAAGAAATAAATGCATTCAAGTTTGGAACAATATGATGGTGAGTAAATGAATTTTCGTTTTTGGTTGGACCATCCCTTTAATTCAGCTTTATTCATCTTTAGCCTTCAAAGAATGGTGAAAAAGCCTCACATTTAAAAGAAAGTTTGGCGGGTGCTTAATCTTCAGGCACGTATCAGCCTTCTAATGTCTGATGCCAATCACGGTCAGTGTTTTGCTCTCAACACGGGTTCTCGTGCCAGTCGGCAGGCCTCACATCATCTGATCCACAGCAACCCAGCCACCCTACACACCCCTGGAGCCTCGTCATGTTTCTGCCACCACTCCTCTCCTCATCCCTCTACCTTTCCGCACCCTCCCTCCATCCACACCCGTGGCTCTCTTCTCCCCCACTGCCCGGTGCTCTCTCACATTCCGCAGGTCTGCACACAGAGCCGCATTGTGTGTGTGTCTTACAGAGCACACAGTCAGGGCTCATTTCGGACACACACACATCCAACAGGGTGTGTGCACAGTCGCACCGATGAGTACACACACATACACATATGCCTTCATAAAACTAATAGACATGCATTCATGTGTGCACACGACCACAAACGCACACACTGATTTTCATATGTGCACACTGTATACACACTCATCTACATACACAGGATGTCTCACACCGAGGCCGAGATTCCAGTGTCTGTATTCCTTCTTTTATGCTTTCACTCGCTTTTTGCAGTTTGATCTTTTAATCCCTTGAGCATTACAAATTTTCTCTCCTCCTCTGTTCCCACAGTGAGATAGATGATGGTAGATATTTTATTGTGATTGAATTGTGGAACAGTTACATAAAGGAAATAAACTTTACAAAACTGGGGAAGACACGAACAAAAATACTATGATGGAGATTTTTTGCTAGTTTTAGTAACAAAATAAGTCGCCATTTATAAGCAGGCCACATTACAGTTATATATTCAAAACATCAGTTTTTCTTCAACAGCTGTGAAACATTTGAGAAAAAAATACACATGAACAGTGTTATTTTTGTATGTTATTGTAGTATTTATTAACATTTTAAATAATCATTTATTGTTATATTTTCAGTTTTCATTTTCATTTTTGTTTAATTTTGTAACTTTTACTTACTTGATTTTTTTTGTTATATTTTATATTTCTTGTGAACTTTATTATTATAATTTGTTGCAGTTTTAACAATTTGATTACCTCAACTGAAAAGCTTATTTCAGTTAGTTGCCATTGGCATCATTTCTAATGTGAATTAATGAAAGTGATTGTTAATAGTTTTAGCTTTAGGTTTGGTTTTATTGTAGACTTAGTTTTACTTTTAACAATAACAAAACTGCTTGTGAAACAAAGAGCTGCTGTTATGTTACTGCTTTGGCTGAACAGGACATTTATTTGGACTGTAATAACAATAACTCTGAAGCAGCTGGCGCTCTAATGGAGAAATAATGTTTAAATTTAGTCAGGTTGTGCCAAGTATTGGAGGTTTGTCGTTTGTTAGTTGATAAAGGTTAATACAAGTTTAGTAAGTTGGAATTGTGACATTGTTGAATCAATAAGACAACATGCTGTATGATGTTTCTTATCTTATTCACAGTGATTTGTGGGACATCCATAATCAAGATGTTCACTATAGCACCAGTAACATGGTTTTTGGAATTCATAACCCCTTGCAAAAATGTTGAAGTATTATTGAAAATGCAAACTGCAGATATATCTGATGCATCAGGTCTGACACCTTATGTATGACCACCCATGCTTCTCATACTCACAGTATTTTGATACTTCATGACATTATCTTGAGTTTTTAATGGCCATGTGCAACCTAGTGGGTCCAAATCTTTGAAACAATGAATGTATTTTGGTTCTCCAAGTCTCTTTTCTGAGCAAAGGCCATTCTGATGCACTTTCATACAAAAGCACAGCGAGAAAGGCCACCATTTGCCAGGAAAGGGCAATGAGGGGAGGGGTGGATGGGTTTGGATGGAATTGTTCTTGAGACAGAGGAGTGGCGGAGTTTTTTCCCCCTCTTCTTTCCCAATAGTGTGGGGTGGGGGGCTGATATGGTTCGTATTTCAGCGCTCATGGGGGTCGGGGTTGGACTCATTTTTTGGGATATACTAAGATTCATAAATGCGCCAGTGGACATAACACCGCGGAGCTCTGACTGACGCGGTGGGCTCTGTCTGTGTGTGCCTGGCGTCGGATCCTCCCAAATACACCCACATCCACGTTCACACTCCCCGCGAGCACAGAGCTGCCGCTCCGCCGGTTCTTCGGCGACTTTCACCCCTGAGGACCTGCATGTCTAACCTTTAGACATGTTCAGATTAGTGGATTCACGGACTCTCCTGCTATTTGTAGCAACGCATTGCGTTTTGCTATCCCTTGTAAGATGCCAACAAGAAGATGACCGTAAGTTGGAGTTTTTCCACATTGAAATTCAAAGTATTCTGCTAAAAAATTGTACGGTGTTGCCATGGTGACATGAGAGGAAAGTTTGGAATGGATCAGTTTGGTTTGCGCGTTTCACCTCTGGACTGTGGAATGTCTTGGCTAATTTTTAAAATATAAGACCGCATGCTTGTATTTTAAGTCTAAGTCTGCAGTTATCCAACGTTTGATTGCAGTCTACAATGCAAACAAGCGACGCGACGCGTTAAAGCGCAAAAGCTGCTGTATCCAGCTCCATTGATGTGAACATTCTGGGTTTCGCTCTTCGGTCACGCGCAGTGCTGACAGAATGACAGATGCGGAGGTTGCGCGACAGGTTAACACGCGCAGACTCTTGTGTATATTATTTCAAAGTTAGCTAAATGTTAAAGAACAAAACGCCTAAAGTAGGCTATCTACGGATTCAATTTGCATTAACGTTTCTAAACAAAGGTTCAGCAACCACAAAAGTTAGAATGCAGGTTAATCAGTGCGCAAAACTGATGCTCTGTAACTTTCTCGTGAGGAGGTTACTATAGCAACAATACACCGTTCGAGCACTTTCAGTTGGAAAGGATCAGTATCATTACGGTACAGTGACAAAACGTATGTTTCTCTCATTACTTATCACTTTAAAATACATTTAATGTTTTTAAAACAGTTAACTGATGGCTAATTGTGCTAGTAGTCGTGCGAGACCACAAAATTACTGACAGGAAAAAAACAAGCTCCATAAAAGTCATTGAATTATTAGATGTATTATTTCTTATTTATTTATTTTAGTTTTTAACGCAAACTTGCTTCAAAGTTTCTAGGCAATTTTCATTATGTAGGCTATTTAAAGTGTTAATTTTCTTTATAATGACATACCTGGAGAAAATATTGACCATCTTTAGAGTTCTCAGAGGAACTTAAGCCAGTGTGGCAAACCGAGGAACAACAAATGGATGCCTCAAGTTTTTTTTATTTTATTTCTACAATGTAAAGAAAAGGCTTATGTGTAACCGTTTCAGCATTAAAATGACTGAACTCCATATATAGGCCATCAATACATCCACTAGTGGTAGTGTGAGCACTGTTTCACTCAAGATTGGGAGCAAAGGTTCCTCCAAGGGATCAAACGGTGCACCATTAGTACACGTGCAAATGGTTTGGAAAGCAACAAATATTTCGGGTTTAGTTCAGGGGATTTTACTTCGATTAGAAGGAGATTTAGGGAACTAGGTTTGGTGGGTGGATAGGGAGGGGGTCTGTGGAATGTTGTTTGAAACGGCAAAACATCAGACTGGCAACCTCAAAGAGGCACAAGCATCTTGGAAGAGTGTCATCTGTGATATTTGGTAAACTATGAAGGGATAGAAGAATAATGACCAGGTTGATGATCTCATTGTGTTCTCACTGTGCTTCTTAAATTTCTCACTCCTCAGTAAACAAGGAAATGTTAATTACACAGAATGCTTGCTTAGGCCGGCCTATATTTGCATCCCAGAAAAGTGGATTTTCCATATTTACAGTTCAGATTTAAACAGCTATAATTGCAGCATTCATGTGCACTAGGGCTGAAAGTTAAAGTCAAATTACACTTTCATATGAATATTTGAAAAGCAAACATTTCAAGGGGTTCTGTGTGTATAAGGGCTGTCCTTTCCGACCCATGAGGATGTATTTGCCCTGGTGGTAAGTGAGACCATTAGATCCAGATGGAGCTTTTGAGAGGGGTGTGTTTGCATAAGGCACCAGGCTGTCAATGCAGCCCAGTCTGTGTTTGAGAAAGCCCCATTCATGGCTAGTTTAGTAGATTTGGGGTTCAGTTACAAATACGCAGACTACAGGAGCCTACATTTTACGCCAGGGTGTCAGATATGCACCCTGCAAATATTAATAGCCAGTGTTGTGGTGAATGTATAATGAAAATGTAACCAGATGCCAGCTACCAGGTGGACAGAAATTACAATTTTGTTTATGCATATATAAACAAAATTTATATATGCATATATATATATATATATATATATATATATATATTCTAAAATATTTCAAAATTATTAGGAGATCTGTACAAGCTATATAAGTATATTTTTATGTCGCTCAGCTGTCTCTTACCCCCATGCACTCCTTTCTGTTGGCCCCTTCTGGTGGCTGCAGAGGAAGACTTTGGGGGCTGCATCCAAGATGGCCAGCAGTATGCAGACCGTGCAGTATGGAAACCAGAAGCATGCCGCATCTGTGTGTGTGATGCAGGGGCAGTGCTATGTGATGAGGTCATCTGTGAGGACCTGAGAGACTGTGCCAATCCCATCATTCCACCTGGAGAGTGCTGTCCCATCTGCCCAGCTGACTCCGACGAACCTATCGGTCCGCTCTCTGCTCATACACCTCTCTTTGCTTATCATACCTGTCCTGCTAGCTATCTGCTTTGAGTTCTGTAACTATGGCAACAGTGCCACATACCACTAGACTACACTAGTTGGTCATGTGATTGCATTCAGAACTCAAAGCAAACAATTAAAGGGAAGAAAGCAACACTTTTAAGTTTTACGTTTGCATTATAGTGCAAATTATGTTTTTCAGTTAAAGCCTGTTATGGCTAAAATGTGTCCACTTTACATTTTACTTTGATAGTAGTTTTTTTCTTATAGAAAGAACACAATCTTGACACTAGTTTGCTGTGAAATCCATTATTTTTAGACAAGATATTTGGTCACTTCTTCAAAAAAGGAAATGTATGATTGTATTGGTCATGTTTTGAGCTAATTTATACTTTAGTCTCAAAATATTTCATTTTACTTTTTTAATTAAAATAATTATTGCAGCATTTTATTTTATTTTATTTTATTTTATTTTATTTTATGCTTTCACTGAGGGACACACATAGTTCAAATAGATTGATATTCTGTTTTTAACACAAAAAGACAATAGATTTCTTGAAAGTGGACTCACCTTGGCCTTAGACTGCTTTATTTTGGAAAAAGCTGGAAAAACAAGAAAATTAGTCTTTGAATGGGAGGTCATGGCACAACCTCATTCAAACAACCTAATTAACAAAAAATTTAGAAGTGTTCTTTCAACTTTTTTCATTTACTTCATGTTCAGTGAACCTTGACAGCTGATATTGTTCATTTTAAAAATTGTGTGTGTTGCTGCTGCACAGATAGATACACACAATAATAAGATGAACATAGTTAACAAAATATGATGAAACGTTTTGATTTTAATATACTCTAGCTCACTGTAATCAGCTCATGCACTGATACAGAATGAGTTTTCACTAAATATTTTATTCTAATTTGCTGAGCAGCATATAGCCTAATATTGCTTCTAATTTAAAGATGATAAACATTTTATCATGTTTTAAACTGATCATGAGCTTGCACCTTCATATTATGCTTTTAACAATTTAACCAAAGCAGATTGGGAAGAGAATGATGCTGTTTTGGTACACGGCCTAGTCGGGTGCCGCTGAGTTGGTCTTTTCAGCTATGTAGTTTCAGCAGGGAGTAGCTGTTCATTAGTTCTTACAGTAACACTGAGTGTCTGACTAGTTTACCGTCCTCATTATGAGTCAGTATTAGCTGATTGCTTCATTCGCAGCCGTTTTTTTTCCTGACCCTTTGGTGACCTCTAGTATTTTATGATGAGCCAGCAGTATTGTTATGAATGTATGATTCAGATGTTACAACTCCAGACAGACTGTTATTCTACAACATTGGTTGTTTTTGTATGTGTTTGAATATTTGCTGATTGATTGAATACATGCAAAACTACTTCCTCCTGTGTCTAACTATCAATCTTTATCTTCTTCATCCTGTGACATGATTCAGCAGGGTCACTTGGTGCAAAGGTGAGACCTTGACTTTTTTATCTTTATTTAAGAAATGCATCATATTCTTAAGGTTTAGATTGAATACTGAATAGAATTACCTATGTAAATTGTATATTAAGTCTTAAATATGTTCTTTCTTACTCTACACAGGGACAGAAAGGAGAACCAGGCGATATTGCAGATGTAAGTCATTTCACCAGTAAAGATCTTTGTGTTTTGGACTGATTTGACCAAATGTTAAAAACTGGAGTTGGAAAATAATATTTATTTGTTTGTTTCTGTAGGTTGTAGGACCAAGAGGACCTGCTGGCCCAATGGTGAGATGAATCATAACACTTTGTTAGTTGGTTTCTGAATAATTTGTCACACATCATTGCACTTCTCCACTAGGGGGCTCTCCAGAACGTTTATTTGAATGTACTGTTGTCCTTTTCATTTCAGAGACCTACAACGTTACTTGTTGACTTTTTTGTTTTTTAACTTTTCTTTTTGTGATTTCAGGGACCCTCAGGAGAGCAGGGAGCACGTGGCGAGAGAGGACCTAAGGGTGAGAAGGTAAGTAACTTTTTTTCTCAAACTTGTTTGGTAAAGTAATGTCAGACCTTATTAGCAGTTATCCGGTTACATTAAGGGGGCAGTGGACACACTCTGCAGGATGCTGTCATGTGAAAAGGCTTTAGTTAATCGCTGTTCTTTTCCAATTATGCTCTGTTTTTTGTTTTTTTGACTCCCACCCCTTAGGGAGGTCCCGGACCAAGAGGGAGAGATGGTGAGCCTGGTACACCTGGAAACCCAGGACCCCCTGGACCACCAGGACCTAATGGTCCCCCTGGACTTGGAGGAGTATGTTTCTCCTCTCATTTCATCTACTCTCTAAATTTTTGTCTGCCCTTTTACGGGGTTACTGTAAGTTTGTTTTTCAATGTGTGTGTGCAGAACTTTGCTGCTCAGATGGCTGGTGGTTTTGATGAGAAGGCAGGAGGTGCTCAGATGGGTGTGATGCAGGGACCAATGGTGAGAAAAACTGTGTTCACAAACACAAACATATCTATATGTATATTAAATAACTTTTGAAATTGTATGAAATACTTTTTTTTTTCTGGTTTAAACTGCAACCCATTTTGAAAGAATCTCACGTCACATATAAGTCAATATTTTATAAGTACTCATTTTGGCTAATATGGATCTGTCAGAATAATACAAATATGAATAGTTATCATAGTATATAGTTCTATAATTCATAAACTTATATGAAAAGTTTGTAAGGTCTGCCCCCTTGCGGAATGCTCTGGAATGATATTTAATTTCAAGATGGAATTTTAATTTTAAATTTTTACTCTGCATGTCAATTTTTTCAGTCATATTGCCAAAGCATTTCATACAAAAACAACATGCACAAATGAATAAAAGTCACCTGAAGTTTCAATATTTGAGCATTGTGCTATATTTAAGGTGCTGCATTATAATCGTACTTGAAGAACTCTGACTGTAAGCCATTTTTTTTTTCAATTTAAATACATTTTTGTACTCTGCAACATAAAGAATGATATCAGGAGAGTCAAATGCTGTTACCTGTTTTTAATCCTTAGTGCCCACTAATGACTTATTTAGTCACAATAGCATTTTCAAATGCCACCTGTTCTCAGAACGTTACAGTGCTTGACAGATTCAAAGCTTGTAACATACAATATAAACATATATCCAAAATAAATGTGGTTACTAAAAATAAATCACACACATTGAAACATAATTAATCTTAAATGATTGGAAAACACAACATAGTCATGCTGTTTTTTTTTGTTTTTTTTCAAAGTTGCCATGCTGCATTTCAACTTTATCTGTTTCTACAGGGTCCAATGGGTCCCCGTGGTCCTCCCGGCCCCTCTGGAGCACCTGTAAGTAAACACACATCATTCATATTCATAATCATGTCATATTTCCAGAAAAATACAACATAATGCTGATTATATTCTCAACAGAAGCTACCATTGACGAGACAGATATGATTAATATGTTAGCACACACCAACACCAACTCTTAAGCCCACACTGTCATTTGTTTCCATTCCAGGGCCCACAAGGTTTCCAAGGCAACCCTGGAGAGGCTGGTGAACCCGGCCCTGCTGTGAGTGTCCCAAATTTTGCCTACATGCACACACATACAGTATGCCATTTTATATACTCACATATTACATGGCCCACACAGATGACGCATTCAGATGCACACGGAGAATGGCATGGCTTTGCAGACTCCTTTACTAGAACACAATGCAGTTTAATCAATTTATAACAATTGTTTTACTATAGGGTCCCCTTGGACCCCGTGGCCCACCTGGGCCCCCTGGAAAACCTGGAAGTGATGTGAGTAGTTTTTGCCACTGGATTGATATTCAACCTTGTCCAAATGTTGAATGCTTGACAGATACAAACTTAAATGTCTCTGCGCACTCTTTTTCCAGGGTGAGGCTGGCAAACCTGGTAAGGCTGGTGAGCGTGGACCCCCAGGGCCTCAGGTAAACAACGTACACAAACAAAGACCAGGATGCAATCGTTTTAGTCACTTGTTTGTATTCTGATAATAGTCATACAATTTAATATAATCACATTTTTACAAAGATGGAACATAATCACTAAATATGTTTCTTATTTATATATATGACAGGGAGCCCGTGGATTCCCCGGAACCCCTGGCCTACCTGGCATCAAAGGACACAGAGTGAGCTTCATCTAGAATTAATTGTTTTTCTGTATGTTTACTTCTGTATAAATACATGCATTTAACCTTTGAATGTGTTTGTAGGGACACCCAGGTCTGGATGGAGCTAAAGGAGAGGCTGGTGCTGCAGGTGCTAAGGTAGAGCAACATAAAAACAGTCAGCCAAAACACTCAACTCTGACAGATAAACTATGTAAAATTCATCCTAATACACTGTCTATAATCATATCTGACAAAAAAGTTTCACAGGGCATCAGAATTCTAACATATCAAATTTATGTAATTTTAAGGCATTATTGTTTGCAAATCTGCTTTTGAACAATATATATTATTGAATAATTTAATTTTATTTAATTTCCAGAGATATTTTAAACTATAAAGATGTTTTAAAATAAAAGTACGCCTATAAAAACCTTTGAGAAATGGAGATTCACTACCTGCTCATTAACACCCAACTGTAACAGATAAACTACGCAAAAGTCATCATGACACTGTCTATACTCATATTTGACAAAAAGCACGTAAGAATAAAATGCACACAGATTTCACAGGGCATCAGAATTATAACAGACATTTATCAAATGTTTATGTAGTTGTAAAGAATTATTGTTTGCAAATCTGCCTTGGAACAATATATATGATTAAATAATTTAATTTAATTTTAAGTTAATTTAATTATTTAATTTCTACAAATAAACATATTTTAAACTATAAAGACTCATATAAAGATACCAGAACTTTGAGCAATATATAGTGAAATATATAAGCCTACCAAATGCTAAATGTGCTAATTCATTTTAATTATGTTCTGAGCAAATTGATTTGACCTAACATACAACTGTAAGGTGTAATCAGTCTCGTCTCTCTTCTTCCAGGGTGAAGCTGGTGCTAATGGTGAGAACGGTGCTCCTGGACCAATGGTCAGTATCTAGAGTCAGAAATGGCCTGATGATTAATTTAGCTGTAGTTTTCTGACACTGACATAGTGCATCTAACACTCTCCATCCTGTTTTTTTTTTTTGTCTATCAGGGTCCACGTGGTCTGCCCGGTGAGAGAGGTCGTCCTGGGCCTCCTGGTGCTGCTGTAAGTGAACACTCGGATAACTGGCCTAATTAACAATACAATATATGATAAAAATTTCTGCAGCTGAAGGTGGCTTCAGACTGTAATGGTCTACATATGTCTGTCCACAGGGTGCCCGTGGTAATGATGGTCTGCCTGGTCCTGCTGGTCCTCCTGTAAGTGCATTTCCTCACTTCTTCAACTGCAGGTTCTCACATACTAGAAGTCTATATACACTTAAAATCATGGTCTCCATTCTGTTTTTAAAGTTTAACTTCATTAATGCTATTGCTAATGATAACTAATAGAGATATCAAGGTGGACGATTGTCGATATAATGTATATATATATATATATATATATATATATATAATCAAACTTAATGATAGCCAATAATTTCACTCAATATTTACTAAAAATATTTTGAAAATGTAGTTAGAAGGAAGTAAGCACACCTCTTTGATAATTTGTTGATGTTTCTGTCCTCAGGGCCCTGTTGGTCCTGCTGGTGCTCCAGGTTTCCCAGGATCCCCTGGTGCTAAGGTAAAATATCAGTCATCTATAGCACTTCATTGCGAATTCTTAACCCATTCTCAAATTTAAGCATTTTTAATTTGCACAGATCCTTGGTAATGATATATGATGTTCACTCCTGCAGGGTGAAGCTGGTCCCACTGGAGCTCGTGGACCTGAGGGTGCACAAGGACCCCGTGGAGAGGCCGGTACACCTGGATCACCTGGACCCGCCGGTGCATCTGTGAGTAATATTACAGATAATGTGACAAGCAAAATATGATTTGATTTTCTTTATCAGTGTAAACAATATATGCAGTATTTTGAAATTAAATGTTCACGTTATGCAGGGTAACCCTGGTACTGATGGTATTCCTGGTGCCAAAGGATCTGCTGTGAGTATATCCATATAATTTATTGTGCTCTTTCACTCATTTCTCTGTATATTTTAAAATAATGTTTAGTCTTAACACTGGTCACACTGTTGCAGTGAATCTATTGTGAACATTTTTCTCTTTTGCAGGGTGGTCCTGGCATCGCTGGTGCACCTGGTTTCCCAGGACCCCGTGGCCCGCCAGGACCTCAGGGAGCTACTGGACCACTTGGGCCTAAAGGACAATCTGTACGTAATCATGTCCAATTAAAAAGCTCTCAGTGTTTCCCAGACATCTATTAGTAATTTCATATGGATGATCCGGATTGCACAGGTTACTGATTATTCTGCCATTTGAGGTTCGCCATTGTACTAATTGAAAACACTCTTGTGTTTATACAGGGAGACCCTGGTATCCCAGGATTTAAAGGCGAGGCTGGACCCAAGGGAGAGCGTGTAAGTAACCAACATTATACCTATCATCAGTCGTCATTTAGATTGTATCAGTTACAATCATATTAAATATTATAGCAAACTAATCAGTCATATATTTTTCCTAATTACACAGGGTGTTGCAGGACCTCAGGGTGCCCCTGGGCCATCTGGAGAGGAAGGCAAGAGAGGACCAAGAGGAGAGCCTGGTTCTGCCGGACCAAATGGACCTCCTGGAGAAAGAGTGTGTTTCTTATCTTAATTAGTTTTACTGATTAACTGAATGATAAAGAACCACACTAATAAGCCTATATGTGTTGTTATTTACTAGGGAGCTCCAGGTAACCGTGGATTCCCTGGTCAGGATGGTCTAGCTGGAGCAAAGGTTGGTGATTTAGACTCATAGTTGGTTACTCATCTAATCAACCCATGTATTTCCTCTGTACTCAAATGCTCTGTACTATGATAGGGTGCACCTGGTGATCGTGGTGTTCCAGGTTTGACTGGCCCGAAAGGAACAACTGGAGATCCTGGTCGCACAGGAGAGCCCGGTCTTCCTGGAGCCAGAGTAAGTGATTGTGGTATTTCTGGGATTTACCTGAAAACTGATTATTCAGGGCAATTTAGATCATCATACCTTAGATAACAGACATTACAATCTAAAATCAGCTTTTATGATTGTTGACCATTCATCTGTTTCCTCTTCTAACAGGGTCTCACTGGACGCCCTGGTGATGCTGGACCTCAAGGAAAAGTTGGACCATCTGTGAGTATCTATATAATTTAAAGCACTTTAATTTTTCCTGTAACAGTAAAGAGTTACAGCCTGCAAACAGATATACACTACTGGTCAAAAGTTTGGGGTTAAAAAATTTTTTTTTGAAAGAAAGAAATTAATATTTTCATCCAGCAAGGATGCATTAAATTGATCAATATCAATAAAGACCATTTTAATTTTAAAATAGATTTCTGTTTCAAATAAATGCTGGATCCTGAAAAAGTATTATAATAAATAAATGTTTCTTGAGCACCAAATTAGCATAAAATTATTTCTGATGGATCATGGTGACACTGAAGACTGGATTAATTGCTGCTGATATTTCAGCTATACCATCACAAGAATAAATTACATTTTAAAATATATTAAAATAGAAATAAGTTTTAACAATAATTCATAATATTACTGTTAATGGACTGTTTTGTGTTTGTTTTCCTCCCCCACATGCTCCATGACCTAGTTTCTCCCTTGTGTTAATCATGTTTGATTATGCCCTTATTTGATTCCAGCTGTGTCCCGTTTAGTTCCCTATTTAAGCCCTGTGTTTTCCTGAGTCCTGCGTCCTGTCTAAAAAGTAAATTCCCCTTCTACGTGTGTGTTCCTCTGTTCCTTTGGATAAATACTTTCTTCGTTGTAAATGCTCCTACGTATCCTCACTCCTTCGTCTCCTCGTTCCCTCACAGTAGCAGCACCGTGAAAATTACTGTTTTTACTGTATTTTTGCTCAAATAATGCAGCCTTGGTGAACATAAGAGACTTCTTTCAAAAACAAAAAAATCCTTCCAACCCCAAACCTTTGAACGGTATACATAGACTCAATATCCATTGGGAAATTTCTAATTTCAGTTCAGTCCTGAACATATTTTATTCATTATAGGGTGCCCCTGGTGAAGATGGACGCCCTGGTCCTCCTGGGCCTCTGGGAGCTCGTGGTCAGCCTGGAGTGATGGGATTCCCTGGACCTAAGGGAGCCAATGTGAGACCATTGGAGTGTTTCTGCATTTCAGCTACTGGTGTTCATGTTTAGGTCCATAAAAATGTTTGGGAAGTGTATGTGTTGTACGTCATTGGATCATATCTCTCTCTCACAGGGTGAACCTGGAAAATCTGGAGAGAAAGGACTTGTTGGGCGCCCTGGTCTTAGAGTAAGTCATGGTTCAATAGACATGCATATCCAGATTACTTGGCCTTATATGTCAGAAGATACCAGATCTCCAGACTAACTCCTATGAAATACAGTAACTGATAAGAAACAATTATTCATAAGCATACACCATACATCACTATTATACCTAATATTAATCTGGTTTACAGCTGATGAAGTCCTATAGATTTACAGACGTACAAGAAGGAACCCAAATCATAACTGGAATATCACACACACTTGGGTTGGGCTCTTTTGACCTAGCAACCATTCAGGACACCCTAGCAACCACACAGTGTGCTTGAAACCATTCAGAAAACCTTAGCAATCATATACCAGCACCTAGCAGAGTTTTTGTACAGACATGCACCAAGAAAATGTAGAAATGCATTTTTCTCATTCTTTCTCTCTTTATTTTTTCTTCTATTAGGGTTTGTCTGGTAAAGATGGAGAGACTGGAGCTGCTGGTCCACCTGGCCCTGCTGTGAGTATTACATCACATTACTCACAATGTCTTATGATCTCAATTCTTTCAGACCATGGTCTGAAACACTTCCTTGGAGACTAAATTGTGATTTCAATGTGCTTTTAGGGTGTAGCTGGTGAGAGAGGAGAGCAGGGTCAGCCTGGTCCATCTGGCTTCCAGGTACATTCATATTAATATCCAAATATATTATTCAATTCTGAAAGAGAAAACTGCACTCTTTTTAAATTACTGAAGCCAAACAAGGAGTCAGGACTCAAAGTATAATTATTTATATGTAATAATAATCACAGTTTCATGGGTATAAGGGTTTTTCTAAGAATTACTCTGTTTCTACACAGGGTCTTCCAGGACCTACTGGATCCCCTGGAGAGCCTGGTAAACCTGGTGACCAGGTGAGCATCACTTAAGATATTTATTACAATTTTCCATTTTTGTTGTTGGTTGTTGTGATGTTATTAGTGACTAAGTATTATGCTGAATTTCTCTCTTATTCTTTCTCTTTATAGGGTGTTTCTGGAGAGGGTGGTGCTGCTGGTCCCACTGGACCAAGAGTGAGTTCATATCTTTAATTAACAAGACTCCAAATTACTACTGGAAATCAGTAGTAATGTGTCATTACACAAAAATAACTCTTCTCTGTGCTTCTCTTAGGGTGAACGTGGTTTCCCTGGTGAGAGAGGAAGCGCTGGCTCTCAGGGTCTCCAGGGACCAAGAGGACTTCCAGGAACTCCCGGAACTGATGGACCTAAGGTGAGAACCACATCACATCTGATGTGAGATTGTGCTCTACTGTTCCATCAAATCTGTTCATTCTTAAGCTCTTTAAATTAAAAAACTCGTCAAATTATTGAATAACTTCTTGTTCAAAAGTTTGTGGTTGGTAAGATTTAAAAAAAATGTTTTTGAAAGAAGTCTCCTATGCTCACCAAATCTGCGTTTATTTGATCAAAAGTACAGTAAAAACAGCAATATAGCGAAATATTACAATTTAAAATAACTGTTTTCTATTTTAATGTACTTTGACGTATTTTTTTTTCCTTTGTTGACAAAGCTGAATTTATAGCAGCCATTACTTCAGTCTTCACTGTCACACGATCCTTCAGAAATCATTCTAATATGCTGACTTGGTGCTCATTTCTTATTATTATCCATGATGAACAGTTGTGCTGCTTAATATTTTTGTGGCAACTGTGATAAGGTTTTTTTGATGAACAGAAAGCATTTATTTGAAATAGATATTTTGTAACAATATAAATGTCTTTACCTTTACTTTTGATCAATTTAATGCATCTCACTGAATAAAAGTATTAATTAGCCTACTTTAAAAAAAATCTCACTGACTGTGCCATCTCTCAGACTCCCCCTTTACATCTCTGTTTGATTTCCAATAGGGTGCAATTGGACCGGCTGGCGCTCCAGGAGCTCAGGGCACTTCTGGCCTGCAGGGCATGCCTGGTGAGAGAGGAGCTGTTGGAATCCCTGGAGCTAAAGGTGACAGAGTAAGTGTCTTTAAAAATGGTACTATCCCTCTTCTCAGTGATTACATCAACCTAATGTCATAATACATATGTATTAACCTACTGAATGACTTTGACTTAATGTCTAATTTTACTAGGGTGACACCGGAGAGAAAGGACCTGAAGGTGCTTCTGGCAAAGATGGTGGAAGAGTAAGTGCTATAAAGACAACAGATGTAAGAAATTGCTTGCTTTTTTCTTGCTTGTCATAAGTAATGATGTTTCTGTCATCTTTTTTACCAGGGTTTAACTGGTCCAATTGGTCCACCTGGTCCTTCTGGTCCCAATGGCGCTAAGGTGAATGTCTCATCCTTACTGTGGTCTTCCACCAATGGTTGCATGCTAAAATTAGTGAGCAGGTTGTTTAATTCTTGTTTAATGACACTTTGTCTTTTCTCACAGGGTGAAACTGGTCCCATTGGCTCAATTGGTGCTCCTGGTGCTCGTGGTGCCCCTGTAAGCAACATATTTGTTTGTTTTTGTTTTAATGTGATTATTAGTGTAATTTATTACAACTAGACAGCAAATGGAAGAAAGAATGGAGTTTGTGGTTTTGTCAAAGGTTATCTTTAGGTTTCTTCTTATTCATTATCATCCTTTTATCATCCTGTTAGGGTGATCGTGGTGAGATTGGTGCACCCGGACCTGCTGGCTTTGCTGGACCTCCTGTAAGTACAAACACAGTTACAAAAAGCCTCCATTTTACTGCAGAGCTAATATCATAGACTGTCATTAATCATAAAAGATCTTTTCCATTACAGTTTTTACTCCAAAATGAAAATGACTTCTAATAAGGCAACACTGCTATAATGGCTTAGCAACTCTGTAGACAGAAGATTAAACTGAACTTAAAAAAAGCAATAAAAAACAACCAATTAATAATATTTTGAATGTAAAGGTATTCTACAATACAATTATGGGCACTAACACCATTATACATTATGTATTAATTTTTAAAATGGAATATTCTCGTAAGAGAAATATCTCAGGATTTTGTCATTTTAAAGAGCATCAATAAAATGATAAGCAAAACATTGTGTCAGTTAATGTCATCATTTTCACATATATTGGATACCCAATAGACACGCTAAATAACACAGTACTCTATAGTTACACTTAAAAATGTACAATTCTCTATGGCTACAATGTAAAATGAGGCTACAATGATCGATTAGGGAGTGTCGTTTGTATTAAACTGGAAATTAAAGCATTTAGTCATAAGTAAGATCAATCTGATAACAACCTTTTGTCAATGTCACTCTTTAGGGTGCTGATGGCCAGCCTGGAATTAAGGGAGAGCATGGTGAAGCAGGACAGAAAGGTGAGGCTGGATCCCTTGGACCCCAAGGACCATCAGGAGCACCCGGCCCAGTGGTGAGTGTTTCTGCCTCACTATCTATTGATACTTTGAGGCATTTTGTGAATCAGTTTTACACTGATATGCGGTTAAAAGAGGCAGTTTTTTAGAAAGCAACTTGGTTTTGGTTACTGGCACATGACATCTTTAAAATCTTTGTGATTTTCTACATAAATTAAGAGTTTAGCATAAAGCATCAACTTTGTGCTGTTTCTTCACAGATTAAATGATTATATTTGGCTCATCGGTGTTCACTGCTTGATTTCAGGGCCCAACTGGTGTTACAGGACTTAAGGGAGCACGTGGAGCCCAAGGAGCTCCTGTGAGTTACTTAATAAGTCAATTAGTCATAAGTAATAATTTTCAATTATTACTTATGAGTTAAATTGTTTCTTAATAACAATATATTTCTCTGTTGTAGGGTGCCACTGGTTTCCCAGGTGCTGCAGGAAGAGTCGGATCACCTGGCCCCAATGTAAAGCTCCTCAATATCACAGACAGATCTCTGTGGTTCCTCCATAGTTCACTTAAACTGATTGACTGTATTATCCTAAATTTATCCTAATCCAATTTATTTTTTTTATTATTCTTTCACAGGGTAATCCTGGTACTGCTGGCCCTGCAGGTCCTGCTGGTAAAGATGGTCCTAAGGGAGTTCGTGGTGATGCCGGTCTCTCAGGCAGACCAGGAGATGCTGGACTGCGTGGACCACTTGGTGCTCCTGGAGAGAAGGGAGAGGCTGGAGAGGATGGTCCTCCTGTAAGGCTCAGATTCATTCATACATACTTATTTTAGCATCGAAGGTGCAGGTGTATTCTGTACAGGTTCATTGTTTCTTTACTGTATTCTTAACATTTCTTCTCTCAATATTTCCTGTGTAGGGTCCTGATGGTCCTGCCGGCCCTTCTGGTCTTTCTGGTCAGCGTGGTATTGTTGGTTTGCCTGGTCAGCGTGGTGAAAGAGGTTTCCCAGGACTTGCAGGACCCTCTGTAAGTAAACAAACCCATGAGCAACATAATTTCGATATGAAAACCTCTCATCTTCATTCAAACACAGTTTAAATTCAAGTTAAAATGAATAGATTTGTGGGTTTTATTTATAAGATCAAGAAAGTAATTAATATTAAGTATTAATATTACAAATTATTTTATATCTAAATAATAAATATCTATTAATATCTAAATAAATATATAAATATCTATTAATATCTAAATAATTTTTTCTTAAAATTCATTTTGTATTATTACGCAAGAATATATTTTGCCCAGAAAATCTGATACTGATGCAGTGCCCCTAATCTGACACTAACTGAAAATGATTTGTACCACAGGGCGAGCCTGGTAAACAGGGAGCTTCTGGCTCTGCTGGTGACCGTGGACCTCCTGGCCCTGTTGGACCTCCTGGATTAACTGGACCTGCTGGAGAGACTGGACGTGAGGTAAAGAACACATACATGCATAACATGATAAAATCAGTGCCAAACAAGGCAAAACTACACTGCAATAATCTGACTAACACAGAGATACATCTAAAGTGAAGTCAGTGAACACTTTACTGAACATTTTGTATTATAAGACCATATCAAGACCAGATCAATTCTGTTTGTCCTCAGGGTAATCCTGGATCTGATGGTCCACCTGGTAGAGATGGTGCTCCTGGTGTGAAGGTGAAGGAACAAACAAACTCATATAATATCCTTTTGTTGTCCTCTGATATTTATAAATCACAAAGCAGTCCAGCTTGAACACGTAATTTTAATTCCATACAAGTAAACAATATATCACTATTGTCACATACACTGGGGTCCAAACTTCTGAGACCTTTAGTGAAATTACTTGTTTGTATTACTGTTTTGATATTACTTTTGTGTTTTAGTAATTTTTTTATTTTTCTAATTTAATGAATCTTTTTTCATTTCTAAATTATATTATTAACATCATTTTACTGAAAAAAAATGATGAATTTCAAAATGACTTTTGGACTAAAATGTTGGTTAGTCAATGCACAGATGAATTTCCAACCAGCTATAATATAGAATGTGTTTTACTTGTGCTTTTCTAGGGTGAGCGTGGTAACACTGGCCCGATTGGTGCTCCTGGAGCTCCTGGTGCACCTGGTGCCCCTGGTCCCATTGGTCCAATTGGCAAACAAGGAGACAGAGGAGAGAATGTGAGTACATCAACTTCTGAAATCTCATTTTCAACAATATACAGATTATATCTTCTGCATACAAGAAAGCATGACTTCAACATATTCAGTATATATATGAATACGTCTGCTTTGATGGCATAATTACAATCAACAAGTAGTGTAATTTGTGTTACACCATTAAGACCAGATCTAACACTAACATTTCTCCCCAAAAAAATTAACCTGAAAGATAATAAGCAAGACCATCCTTATGAAGATCAAAATGCCAGAGCTAAAGAGATGTAGCAATGTTCAGCACTTATATGAAGTATTTTTATTTATTATTTATGTACCATCTTCTCTCCTTTCTAAAGGGCCCACAAGGACCTGCTGGACCCCCTGGACTCGCTGGAGCTAGAGGCATGGTTGTAAGTACATTTTATGAAGTGCGTGGAACAAAACAGAACACTGAAAATACACATCAGGCTTTAAAAATCTTGAAATAGCCAGTATCAACATGTGTATATCACACATACACTATATGAGTATGAAGAAAATCCAGTAAATTGACCAGACGACTTCAGAAGAGTTTCTTACACCTAAACTCCATATAGTTATAATGCAAAAAGTGTGAATGATTTGGTAACATCTAAATAGACAGGTTTATTTTTTAAATAATATTTTTAAATAAAAAATATGGATTAAGTCACATCAGGTCATTTTTGTGGCTTTACTGTATATCACTTTATAGTTGCTAACATGTTGATGGAGCTTTTCCATTTCTCTGCATCAGGGACCCCAAGGACCTCGTGGTGATAAGGGTGAAGCAGGAGAAGCTGGAGAAAGAGGTCAGAAGGGACACAGAGGATTCACCGGTCTGCAGGGTCTGCCTGGACCTCCTGTGAGTCTCTTTTACAAGAATTAGTTTTTATAAACAAGTTGCAGTGGTAAAGTAGAGATATTAAATATGCTTACATTTCTGTTGTGTCTCCTCAAAAAAGGGCTCTCCTGGAGACCAGGGTACTGCTGGACCTTCTGGACCAAGTGGTGCTAAAGTGAGTGTGGCTCTCAACTAGTTAAACTGAGACAACAGAACAATTTAGAAACTTCATTTAATGCTCAGATGGATTACTAATGGTCTGTTTAACCCATATTACTTGCAATAGGGACTTGCAGGACCTGTTGGACCAGCTGGTAAGGACGGTACTAATGGTCAGCCTGGACCCATTGGACCATCTGGACCTCGTGGACGCTCTGGAGAGTCTGGCCCAATTGTGAGTGCATCTTACTCTAAAACATGCACATAAAACCTAAAATATTCACTGACATCAGATGAAAAGAAGATGTCTGATTCATTTTGTCTTCCTATCTGCTCTCATTAGGGTCCACCTGGTAACCCTGGACCCCCTGGTCCTCCTGGTCCCCCTGGCCCTGGCATTGACATGTCTGCCTTCGCTGGGTTGTCTCAGCCTGAGAAGGGACCCGATCCTCTGCGTTACATGCGTGCCGACGAGGCCTCCAGCTCTCTTAGACAACATGATGTGGAGGTGGACGCAACAATGAAGTCAATCAACAGCCAGATCGAGGTCATCCGCAGCCCAGATGGCTCCCGCAAGAACCCTGCACGGTCCTGCAGAGACCTGAAACTCTGCCATCCTGAATGGAAGAGCGGTAAGAAATGGAAAAAAAAGTGATTCAGAGACAATCTAATGTTAGAAAATGTTAGAAGGTGTCACATTCACATGCTCAAAAAACAGTCAAGTGCACTTGTGTGTATGATACTCACTCACCTGAACATGTTTGGTCCCTATCCACAGGTGACTACTGGGTGGATCCTAACCTTGGTAGCAGTGCTGATGCCATCAAAGTTTTCTGCAGCATGGAGACCGGAGAGACCTGTGTGAAGCCCAGCACTCCCAAAATCCCACGCAAGAACTGGTGGAGCAGCAAGAGCAAGGCACAGAAGCACGTGTGGTTTGGAGAGAGCATGAACGGTGGATTCCACGTGAGTATAATCCTTAGATTTTGGAGATGTACACTTTAAATTTTAGTAAAGTGACTACAAACACACCTCAAAACAAATTATAAAAAGGGTGTTTAAAAGTTTACAGTACCACAAAAGGCACATCTGGAATTGATTATGAACAGCTGTTCTATTGTTGGCCTGAGTGCCTGCAAATTCCCACAGCTGGTTTGGGGAGCTGTTCACAGTTCTGAATTTCTGTTGGTCCATGGTACTGAAAGTCTCTGTAACGTTCAATCATAAACCAGCAGAGACAAGGAGCTGTGCTGAAATACTCTCTCCTTCCCCCTGTGTCACTACCTAGTGTTACAATTAATCAGCTCTCTTTTCTTTCAGTGATATTAATGACCATATTTTAAAAAAGGTATTAAAAGACATTTTCTCTTTCTCGAACAGTTCAGCTATGCTGATAGCAGCCAGACTCCTAGTACTACCAGCATCCAGCTGAACTTCCTTAGACTGCTGTCTACTGAGGCCACTCAGACCATCACTTACCACTGCAAGAACAGCGTTGCTTACATGGACCAAGCCACAGGCAACCTGAAGAAGGCCATTCTGCTGCAGGGCTCCAATGATGTGGAGATCAGAGCAGAGGGCAACAGCCGCTTTACATATGGAGTACTTGAGGATGGCTGCAAGGTGAGTCACACAATAAAATATAATTTTCGAACATACTGGCTATAGTTATAAAATTAATTATTTGAAAATGAATAAAAATAATTACATTTTTATTAAATTTTAATAAAATAAATTACAAGTATATACACTACCATTCAAAAGTTTGGGGTCGGTATGATTTTTTAAAATAAATGAATACTTTTATTCAGCAAGGATACATCAAAGTGATCAAAAGTGACAGTAAAGACATTCATAATTTTACAATACATTTCTTTTCTTTTTTTATAAATGCTGTTCTTTTGAACTTCCTATTTATCAATCAAATCCTAAAAAAAATAATTATGGTTTCCACAAAAAATTTAACAGCACAACTGATTTCAACTTTGATAATAAAATGCTTCTTGAGCACCAAAATCAGCATATTAGAATGAGTTCTGAAGGATCATGTGACACTTAAGACTTATGACACTTATGACTGCTGAAAATGTAGCTTTGCCATCACAGGAATAAATTACATTGTAAAATATATATTAAAATAGAAAACTGTTATTTTATATTGTTATAATATTTCCCAATATTTTATCAAATAACTGCAGCCTTAGTGAGCAATAAGAGACTTCTTTTAAAAACATTAAAAATCTTACTGACCCCAAATAAAATAATACAATTTTACATATTAACTTATTTTTATTTTATTTATATTAATTTTTTATATATTTATCCTCTTACATGGCTTTTTTGCTGTCTTACAGAAGCACACAGGTCAGTGGGCCAAGACTGTGATTGAGTACAAAACTCAGAAGACATCCAGGCTGCCCATCGTGGACATTGCTCCCATGGACATCGGAGGAGCAGATCAGGAGTTTGGAGTGGACATTGGTGCAGTCTGCTTCTTGTAAAAAAGTAAATAAAACATATGTGGATTATGAAATAAGACACGGAAAAATACCAATGATGAGCAATAACTGTGAGGATGCAATACACTCTCCAAATAACGAAATATGGAAGAAAAGAATCTGAAAATTGACAAACGTTTTTTTTCTCTAAAAACACAAAAAGTCGTGCTGTCCACGTTTAGTGTGCAGGAAAACCAGCGTTAAATGGGATGGCCCCAAATAGTCTCTCCCTCTGAAATCCAGCCATGTTTCCCACAAGCTCTCAGTGCAGCACCTCCTCCTGACGGGAGCCAAGAGGGGGACAGAATGAGAGAGCGCAACCAAAAGAATAAGAGATTCAAAGAATAAGAGATTCAAAGAACAGAAACATGGCTTGATGTCATCACATCCTGCAGGGGGTGGGTGGCTGGGTGATGCTGTACAGCGTCATGGCTGGATACCACAGTAGTCCCTCCCACTAAAGAAAGAAGGCCATGTCCAGTCCCACTTCACCCTTCCCTCTGCCTCTTGACTTTGACTCGGAAGAAAACATCACATGCAAGATTTTGTGAAAAGTTAAACCTGAGGAGGGAATAAGTTCATATTTACTGTGTATAGTAACAAAAAAATCTTGATTCAGTCTGTACTGAAGCAGCCAGATCTATATATTTTCACAATTACATGTGTTTGTGTGTGTGAGCATGTGCCTATACACACCGACAATATTGGGGAAAGTGCAGTTCCATTCCTTTGTGTGTGTGTGTGTGTGTGTGTGTGTGTGTGTGTACCATTATTTTTTCCCCCACGATTGCCCAAACTAGGAAGTTTTGGTCCCTTAACATAACAGCAGAAAAAGAAAAAAATCAAATAAATTTGGAAATCATTTCTATTTTTGTTTATTTGCATGATCTTCATATTTCAAGAAAAGCTACCTCACACAGGAAAAAAAACGAAGTTAAAATCTGGATGTGAACGAGAGCAGATTGGGGTTTGAGAAGCGTCAGGAAGACCCCCCCGGCACGGCTCGGTCCATCTTCAGAAGGTGCTATTAGTATTGATCTATCAATCAGTATTTCCCACAATTCCCAGACCATCCCACTCCCTAACTAGCCTCATTCAACACACACAGCCTGCTCAGAGGATGCGGAACTATGCGGGATGATCAAAAGACAGAGGGACTCTTTTGGCAATGCCGGAATTTTGCTCCCAAAGGATCGCCATATCACTGAACAGGATGTGTGTGTGTGTGTGAGGGTGTGTATATTTTTGTTATAATTAATATTATGATCTTGGTCTTTTTTTTTGTTTGTTCTCTCTTTTTGGTTCTGGTTTTGTTATGATTTTAATTAATGTAAATTGAAAATAAAGGAAAAAACAAGGAATTATGAAGTCAGATTTTAATTGTGTTTTTAATCATCATGAGCACAAAAAGTTAAATGTATGGAATTGGCACAGGAGTATGAAACTAGTGCTTTGCTTATGTGTGTGTACAGTAATTTTCTGAAATAGAAGCCTACAAGGTATCAGACATAAAGGCTTGTATAACATGCTTCTTTAGCCTTCTAAAAATAAAACAGAATAAAAAAAGGAGCTCCAACCACAATAATAACAGACATTTAGACCCTTAAGGCTCTTAGAAAATTAGCAATATTGTAAGGTATACATATTATGTGGACTCTGTATATTGAGGATGCAGTTGTCTCACAATCAGCATGTCAGTCACTAAAACAAATCACATTTCCAGAGAAAATCTCACTGAAATCATTATCATAATCACTGTGAATCTTAAAAATAGCTATAAACTCTAAAGAGCATGTTAGAGATAAAATGAAAGAAACACATATTAGGGAAAGAGTATAAAATGACATTCACGTCCCAGACCCACAGCTGGCTCCAAAACAATTAGGTAGAAGGGGCGTCAAACCTTGAGCAGGAGGAATCACTGACCAGAGGCATCATTCAAACTGACAAAAGACAAAAATGTTATTAATAATCGGTTAATTAAGTTCCACGATTATTGTAGGTACAAAATTAATAGTGGCTTAGGTCATCGCCTTTTGATGAATTTTGGTTAACCACAAAAAATGTAAAAAATATGTGCACATCTGATGGGCAAAAAAAAATCCCCTCAATGAGGGTGCTCAACTATTGTAAACAATAAGAAGAAAGAAAGGTTGGCACACCACAGCTCCAAAAATTCAAAAATGTGGGTTGAATTCACAGGTGACGTTTCGAGCCGTATGGCTCTTCATCAGACAATGATCACATATACTAATGAGCCCTTAAAGACTAACAGAAATTACATCACATGATAAACCACACGACACACACACACACAAAACTCAACACTCGGGCAAAAACTTACATAGCTGAAATAAAAGTGAAAACATAAAATATTAAGAATCCCTGTACAGGGAAAATTTTAAGATCAGAGGAACGATTTCTTGTAATGTTATTTATATACTGCACTGTCCGTGTGGACTAGCAGACAACTCAAAATGCAGACTGCCGAACATCTTAGTGCCATTAGGCTGACCCTAGAAGTCAAGTTGCACAACATTTTGTTACATTTAAACAGTTGGTTTCCACACCACAATATATTGGCATTGAAGCTGTCAATTTACCTTGTAGAGGGGGTGATATCAACAATTTGCTTTTAAAAACATGAAGCCTATTAGATTTATACTTTGAACACATTATCACTTAATGGTCTTAACGAAGAGTTTGATATTCATCCTTTTCTGCATTAATGATGCTGATTGTATTTGTATGTTCACGTTTGATTTTTTTTCTAATCAGGTGTTTATGTTAGATTGTTGTTATTTGTTCTTGGTAATTTGTTGCCCCAGTGTTGAGTTTTATTTTATTTTGTGTGTGTGTCATATGGGTTATCATGTAATGTAATTTCTGTTAGTGGGCTCATTAGTGTATTTGTTAATTGTCTGATGAAGAGCCATACGGCTTGAAACATCACCTGTGGTGAGAAAATGAAATAAACATTTTTGAATTTTGGTTAAGCCAACTCATGTCATTTAGCCTACATGATTCACACAGAATTATTATTTCTATGTGGGGTTGCGTTTTTCCCATGAAGCATCATGGCATACATGAAAATGCAGGGCATACACTGCAGTCGAGTTCAGTTGTAATTTTGCTTGGTTCATTATAAAAATGTATATTACATGCAAACTATAAAATTACCACACTAGACTATCATGACAGTCTTATGAAAATGTAAAAAATGTAAAAAAACTTCAAAAAATTAGGTGCATGACACCCCTGACTATGACTTTTAAGAAAAGATGAGAAGATGACACCCCTAACACATGGGTGACATGACATGACACCCTGTGTAACACTGACCTATATGAGATGCCACAAGCCATTACACCAGACAACCATATAAAAGTGCATCTGGATTTTGCAGAAAAAGATTTTGCAGTTGGTTGAGACCAAGAGTTTTCAAGTGGCGAAAACTCAATAGTGGCCTAAAAGTCTACATACCAAGGATAAAATATGCTACTGAGAGTGACAACACCCTGTGGCCTTATTTTCATCATTAGGGGTATTTTGCATTAACAGAGATGTCAAGAATACATGGAAATACTCCAAAATTACCTGTTTCAGTCTGTTAATATATGTGTAGAAATGTATATGAAAAGGCAACACTTGTGACCATCATTTGTATGATGATGAGTTTGTTCTCATACTATTAAACTATTAAAGCCAATCAATATAACATAACAGTAAGTAAAAATAAAACAATCGACAACAAGCAACGTTTAGGATGGTAATTTGTGAAACAGACAAACAAGAGTCAATGGAATAAATGAGATACATAGAAATACTTGTATTTTCAAACAGATCAGATCAGCAAGCAGTTTGTAATATCTAATCTTTATCTTTTTTCGCACAAATTCTTATTTTCGATGTTTCAAGCTGCTTATCTGTTAAATAAACGCAGCTCAATTCATCCTCACCATCAGCTCAGCCACGTCTCTCTTAATCCAGTCCACGTACCCCGTGATCTCGTCTCGACCAATCAGAAGCGACATTGCGCTTATTAGGAAATCCACATTGAGAGCGTCGAGCTGAGCTGAACACAAGAGCAGAGAGCCAAACTGAGCAGGCGCGGTGCACGAGAGTCTCACGAAGTCAATTTGACCGTCTGTGCGCCAGACCGAATTGGGGAACAGTATAGATTCTCAGCTGTGAGTATACCGCTATACCGTGGGAAGAGATGATCCTGTCTTCGGGACTGACATAACGGTTAAAGGTAATGCGCTTAAACTGCGTATTTTGCACCTGTAGGCTTTATTATTGCCTTGTAAAAAACGCGTTACATAACGTGCGCCGGTGACCCCATTTCCCACGTTTGTTTTGCTATTGAAGTTTTTCCAGATGTGTTCCTTACATTTGTCTCTATGTTGTTCTTTTGAATATGTCATTTTAGTTTTAGAGAACGTAGCGGGGAACCCAAAATGTATACATTAACACTAACTACAATGTCTCGCCATTTTCACCTAATCGGAATTGACCTAATTTCTACTCTAGGATGTTTAGTGTGTCTGTGGAGCAGCGTCGCGTGCCACTGTAAAAGGTGTTTTAGTGCAAAACAAAACTATTCATGCCCTATTTTTGTCTATTCTGTATTTGTTTTGTTTACTAATGTTATATGTACAAGTCTTTGTGGTTTCTTTGTCATGAATGGTAATTTGAGATGAGTACAATTATGAAAATCTGACCTACCATTCCTACCCACAGCATCCTTTTGGGGTTTGTTTGTGGGTGCAATTGGTAGTGCATCCATATTTTTTCTGCCTTCCCCCCCCCGAGATTTCCTACCTATGTTGTAATTGAAAGTTACCAGTATACTACTGGTAGACCATCTTAAACGGGTAGGTCAGATTTGCAGTACACCTTCAGGTAAATGTGTCTTTTTAAATAGATTCTTTAGACAAGATATCACAGGTGAATAGGGTACCTTTTTTTTTGTAACTAAAAAGTACTTATTTTAAGACTAGTACATTGTCACAGTACAAGTGTTTTGTATTACAAGTTTTCTGAAATGTTTTGTTTAAATATGCAAATGCTGCATTATCTAATTTATTAGGCACTAATTCGCGTACGTTTCCAGGTCTTGTACCAAATCTCTGCCTGAAAAATGCAATTAAAAAAATGCAAACAAACAGTTAGGAAAAAAAAATCTACCTATTTGTTAGGAATAAAATGTTCTATTAATCAGCAGAATTATGAAAGAACAAACCCTACTCTAAAAACCTTGAGAATATAGAAGTCTGGTGTATGTAAGTGCTGCTGAAGTAGAGATTTATTGCTCAGTGTGAGGAAAAAATTATTTTGAGAAATCAGTCTTTAAATATATTTACTGTATTTGAAATCTACAGACGCAAGTAAATAAAATTGTAATAAACAATTTTTTTTCTATCCACTAATGTTATGGAAGCAAAATTGCCCAAAAATCTAAAAATTGACAAATGTGTGAAAAAACAATGGATTTGCCTGTAGTGTCTTGCCTGTAGTATCACAAAGCCTGCTGTGACAGTGTAAAAGTGGCTGGTGTATAGGATGCACTTTTTAGGTAATGTGTGATAAACTGAGATTGTGTGGAAATTAACCTATAGTGGTACAGTAGTCCTGTAATATATAAATGAGAATCATGTACTGTATAAATAGCTTTTACTTTACACATTTGCTTGACATTAGTGCTCTGTATGTCAGTATGCATAAGTTTGAGTGTTTGTCCCCATATATTACTAATGTGGGTTTGCTGGCTAAAATATTTTGGAAAAAAAGTAGTGACGAGTACCTTTGACAATGTTGTGCACATGCAGGACAGTTGTAGCAGATGGTCTGCCAGTACAAGTTGCTAGATCAATCCCAGGTAGAGGTGGCCTACTGTAATTCCCAGAGCACAGACAACCGATAAATTGCCTCAGAGACAGAGACGTAACCTTGCACATAGATAAATCAAGATAAATCCTCAGCCTCCTTGAGGCCACTTTCTTTGCATGCGTGTATGATGGTTGTTTTCGAGCAGGGTCTGTAGACATGTCCTTGATTGACAGGTAGATTTCTATGAATGTCACATTATTCATGAGAGACAGTATGGTATTGCCATAAATGACGGAATTCAGAACAGTGTAGTCGTCACACATCCGGAGTCAGTCTGAGGAAAAGCCAAGAATTCACAGAATGACTCCTCAGATTGACAGGTTTTAAGTCGATTTGAAGGATTCCTCTGTCATGAAGGGGAAACAGGACAAAAAAAAGACTCAAATCTTAACCAAATGGTCTGAGCAAAAGTTAAAAACGACAATACATTTTTACTGCCTAAATGTAGGATATTATGATGCCAATGTCTGTAAAATATGAATGGAAAAGTCTCACAGACAATGCCATCAGTTTGTAATTTAATTGCATTTCTGTTATAGGGTGATGATGTGCTAGAGATGGACCCCAATTTGCTGTTTTAATTATGATGGCAACAGTAACATACTAAGAATAAGATGCTGAAAAAGTGTATAATTTGTATTGTAGGGCCCTTTTCTTCGAGTAATTTTATTTTTTATCTATTTTATTTAAATGGCAAAAAATGTCTTGTAAGGCAACATTTCCCCATGTTTAATGAGGGTGTAATTTTTTCACATATTTATATTTTTAATATAAACATTATTTATATGTTTTATGTTTTAAGGCTTTTAATTTTGTTTATTATTATTATTTTGCTTTTTGAGAACATATGAATAAATGTATTTGTCCTGATTTTATTTATTTTTTACATTTATTTTTGAAGGGTGACTCAGTGAACATGGCCCCAAATTCCATCCACTGGTTCCGGAAGGGCCTCCGTCTCCATGACAACCCTGCACTTCAGGAGGCAGTACGTGGGGCAGACACTGTTCGATGCGTCTACTTCCTGGATCCCTGGTTTGCTGGGTTGTCCAACCTTGGGGTCAACAGGTGGAGGTGAGTGCAGTTGTTTTAGAAATATAAGAAAGAATAATTTTATCCCACGTTTCATCTAGCAAGTCCCTGTTAGTTAGGAGTATCCAAAAATGAGTAAAATACATTAAGTGTATTCTTTGAAGGAACAAAATATGCCATTGATCCATCATATGCAGAGCCTTTATGATATTTAGTTTTTTATTAGGACCACTAAACAGTACAAACACAGTCACTATTTAATACACACTCCAGTGTGGTTGCAACTAACAACAAAAACTAGCCCTGTCTAGGTTTTATTGTGTGATATGTTATGCAACTTGAAAATGCTGTGTAGCCTTGACATATATAACAACTGCAAGGAAACTTCCTGAAGTGAAAGGCTTTTCCTATTCACACATTCCTATTACATACTTGTCATTTAGCTGGTACCTTTTTAAATCACAAACCATAACTGATCTCCCATCCTATGTCACTTTATGTTGTGTGCATTTGAATGAGGGTCAGAAACTGATATTGAGGTCATGCTGTTGAAAAAAAATCAGCTTTTTTAGATTTGTGTATGTTCTGTTCCAATGAAAATGAACCATATTGTTGTGTAAACCTGAAATACGAGTTGACACAATTTGATGACCACATAAGCAGTCTATTAAATATACTATTGCAGTTTGTTCCAACTGTAAAATAAGACTGGGCAAAGTCATGACATGTTGCTTTAATAAAGGTTAAAAGATGTGATTAGTAACCGTGTTGTAAACTTTGTGCATCATTTTACAGTCACATCCTGCCTGCAGTGATCATAAAGGTGCAGTCTCATTATCAGCTGATGCAGCTGCATTTTTATAGAAACAGAAATGTCATATTCTCTTATGATATCAGATTTCCTTAATGTTTCTTAAATGTGGGGCGATGGCCCAAAATGGATAATAAAAATGCGTTATTGTAGGCAGCATATTGCTGGGTCTTAGTAATATAATTTTTCAGTTAACATTTAAGGTTGTACCATAAACAATTTTAGTATTATGTTGGGTGACCATTTTATGCCTATGTAAATTTGGGGTCCTGAAGCAAAACCAGTTGAGAACCACTGATTTACACAATGGTTAAATTTAAGAAATGCTCTATTTGAGCTTCACTAAAAGGATCTCTTTTTTTTGTCTTCAGATATGTCTGTGTTTCTATTTTAAACCAGTGAATACCCACACATAAAGTAATCTGACCACATGGCCATGTATGCAGATTGATCCAGTGCCTTAACAGTCAGTCAAGAGGAAAGTAGGCCAAGTCGTCGACCAGCAGATGCTTTGTTCTCAGAAGACAATCAGACAATCTGGTCACAGAGCTTGTCATTCAGCTCTCCTCAACAACTGGATGCATTGTGATCTGACTGAATGTTAAAGAGAGTGAATTCGCCAGATTAAAAGATGAAGCAACTGTAACTGGATTTGTCATTGTCAGCTTCAGTGTTCAGATGGCCTCTGCAGTCTTATTTAAAACACCTGTTGAGCACCAAGTTTAGGTACCTTAATGCAGGGAGATTGCAGGTCACATTGTGTTGTCTGCTCTAAATCGCCTTTAAAAATAGTGGTGTAATTGAGTAAGCTGCTGTTAGGAATCTTTGTCTTCACTGCTATCATGCACGCTACACTGCATCATTACACCCTCAAGAGAGACATGTTACTTCATGTCAGTGCATCATGTCAAAAACATGCTTGATGTCATGCAGTAGACAATTACCAGTCACTCAATGAACTGATATCCATTGACACAGATAGAACTGATGTAACTGATTGAGTTAATGATAACTAGTTGTTATTGGTTCATGTTACCATGCTCTGGGATGGGAATGACATTCACATAACACTAATATAATTAGTGTTGACTTGAGATGCGAAACTGGAATGGCCAGGTTATGCATCTTGTGTCTGCAGCACGTACTCTTAAGTGAAAGACACAATGTTCATTTTTTGCAACCATTATAGTATTTATGCTGCACTTGCAGCAGAAGCATTCCTGAAGCAGCATTGTCTATTTTTGCCATTCCAGCGTCCAATTTATATTACCCCTCCCTATATAGATCAAGATTGTAGTAGTTCTCTAGCAGTTTATGACCTGTTATTCAATATCAGTGTTTATGACATGTTACTCAATATCAGTGTTTATGACATGCAGTATTACAGTTTATTTCCTATTAAAGCATATATTAAATTTGATAACCTATCATATTATGTTAAGTGTAAAGCACAGCTCTGTTACTTTTACACTACTGTTCAAAGATTTTTTGTCGGTAAGAATTACTAGTGTTACTTACAATTAGCAAGGACACATTAAATTGGCCAAAAGTGACCGTAAAGACATTTATAATGATTTCTGTTAAAAAATAAATGCTGTACATTTGAACGTTCTATTCAATAAATAATCCTGAAAAACGTTATGGTTTCCAAAAAAATATTCAGCAGCACAACGTTTCGTCATTTGATGATAAGAAATATTACTTGAGCACCAAATGAACATATTAGGATGATTTCTGAAGGATCATGAGACAATAAAGACTGGATTATTGGCTGCTGAAAATTCAGCTTTGCCATCACAGGAATAAATTACATTTTAAATATAATAAAATAGAAAACAGTAATTTTAAATTGTAATTATATTTCACAATATTTCTGTTTTTACTGTATTTTTGATCAAATAAATCCAGCCTTGACTTTTCTGTTGTATTCAAAGTATACATTTAATCAGTTCTCTTATGTACACTCTGCAGAATGTGTGAAACAGACCTAATTTGTTTGCTTTTGCTGAACTTCAGCACTTTTATCTACCTTAACGGATGAGGCATGTGTACCTAGTTAGTTACCCATTTTGTGTAGTAACTGATAATATGAACTGTAGCCCATAACTTGTTATCTTGGATTCCTAGAAGCTGGACGGATAGTTTTTCACTAGTTCATGGCCAGTAATTCTAGACTTTATTTTAAAAGACTGAACCTTATTGTCTTATGTCTGTTTTCACGTGATCTGGGGGAAAGGGAATACAAGTGTGGTCTTTTCTCAGACTAGGTGCTCAGAGTGTTGTTGTGGTTGAAAAGAGATCACTGGGCTAATTTTATGCCCTCCAGTGGTGGAGACCATGCATGCTGCAAATCTAGGCCAGGCCAGTTACATAAGGTATGATGGATGACAGGGCAGAGTTAGGAAAATTAGGTTTGAGTTTTCCATTCTTGTGCTCCCAGTAGCTATTAGTTTTTGTGTTCTTTTGGATTTCATGAATGGAGGTGTTAGTGTGTCCGTTTATATGTGCGTGTTGGTGGTGCAGTTGCGTGTGTTAGTGTGTTGAACGGTCGGCCAGTATCTGGAGCACAGGGAGCTTTGTCCCTGTCTGTTCTCTAATCAGGGCTTTGGTTGCAGACAGTCTGACTTAGTGGACTCAGTCAGGACTCTAGGACCAAATAACAGACACAGGTAGACGGTCGGATGGGCCTTTCAGATAAATACTATAACCTCATTAATGAAAGAACTAAATGTTCTGTAGAGGAAGCCTACCGTGACAGTGGGTCTTTTGGAAACTTCTGTCCTGTCTGCTCTTTACTCATATTTTACATACAAAATTGTCTACTGTATTTGGGTGAACATGATTGCTGACTCATAGTTACTGGTCTGGAACAAAGGGTTCTGCTTTTACGGAGAAAGTTTCTAAATGTCAAGGGAAAAAAATAAAATTACTCTGAAAGGACTTTGAGCAGTTAAAATTAAAACATAAATTTTGTTTGTTGCAACAAGAACTGTCACAGTACCAAAATGTGTTCCTTTATGTAAAAAGATAAATATTGATATTTTTTATGTTAAATATTGAAGAATACAAAAAAAATCTGTTTTTAATCATTTTAAATTAAATAAACAAAAAAAAATTCTTATGTTATTTCATTTGAACTAAATAATGTACTAGTGCTTTTGACATTTAGAATATTTTTTTTAAGTGAAAACAAAAATGATCTGACCTCTCTATCCAAGTGCACCAAGTGTCATCTGCTGATTTATTCATAGAGCAGCGTTTCTCAGTAAAGGCTGTAGTACTTAATGTCCCTTCAGCTGGTAAGGCAGATGTGTAGAGAGGAAATAGCAGTTAAGCTTCTAAAGTTTTAAACGGGTCGTGAATGAACAGATTTGTGAATGGAAACTCAGAGCATCTGTAGGTTTAAGGGACAGCTTGCTGATCAGGTAAAGCCTCAGGGCTTTGCTTTAGATCAGTAGTTCTCAAACTTTTCAGGCCAAGTAACTGGTCAAGTCAAATCAGGACATCCCAGTACCATCTACTCTCTACATTGTTCACTGTATTTTGGAATTTGAGCCAATGTAGACAATCTTCAAATGTAAAATAAAATACTTTATAAACAAATGTGCTTATTGGTATTTTTGACTCCTTTTAGAATCAGTCCATGGAATGTGGATCTGCCTTTATGGTGGAAAGACAATACAAGACTTTGTAGACTGCAATGGTAGATGGCAATAGTTCCTATGGAAGGATTGGTCAGTAACGTTTTTTAGTTTAAGCTCAAATTGAGTAACCTCATCTGCTCAATTTTTTTTTTTTTTTACATTC